ACCATTTATATCCATTACTAACATTGAAACACAAAAAGCGGTACTACTGCCATTTATTTATTTATTTTCATAGAAAACATCTCAAAATACCATCTTTAAAAACATTATTCATAAGAAGTTAACTAGATTTGTCTCTGGGCTAAAGCATAACATAACTACAGGATCAATACAAATAAAAAAAAACTAAAATTAAAATAATAAGAGTCAAAAACACATACGTATAAAAAATACAAAGCAGATACAGTAATAAATACAGTTATTGTAGAATAATAGGCCTATACATACAATAGGCATACATGCAGGATGAAATGTAACGTACTGTACGTAGTGAATGTTGTAGAGGTCAAGGTTGAACGCGTTTCTGGAGACGTGAATGCGTTACAGAACCTCAATGTCAACGCATTACCTTCCGAAGCACGGCGGAAAAACCTGTAAAAAAAAAAAATCATTTTTACCATATTTTGGATAATTACCGTACTAAAAGTTGGTTTCTATTGATTATTAAGTAGTTTTCTACTCTCGTGTGGTAATATTTTTATCATTTTTGCACCCGTGTGGTCGCGAGTGGTCCCGTGTGGTCGCGAGTGGTTCCGTGTGGTATTTAGTAGGACCGGACCTCTAGGCCTAGTGTGGTCTGCCTGGCAATAGACTATATTAAAAAATCAGTAGGGTCCGGGAACTTTTGATTGCATGACGACGACGGTACTGTAGTAGAACCAAGAAAAGTGTAATGACGCCGCATAGCCTGTAGGCCTATATATAAACTTTAGATTTGTATGTTTGTTGTATACTATTTTTTGACCTTGTTTACTAAATAAAGAAACTCAAACTCATTTGCGCATGCAATAACAATACATTACTCTCATTATCGTCTGGATTTCTAGGACGCAGTTTGGCCCAAATTTATGTTGAGCAGAAAACTCATAGATGAGTGAATCTGTTATTAGGTTAGGTTGTTGCACAAATCAAAAACTAACCTAATCTTCCTGAATATTGTTTGTTTTTTTTTCAGGCTAAGATCAAAGCCCATGAATTGCGGGGAAAGAAAAGGGAGGAGCTTGAGGAACAGCTCAACAAGTTGAGACAAGAACTTGCTCAGCTCAGAGTTGCCAAGGTGACCGGTGGTCAGGCCAACAAACTTTCCAAAATGTAAGATGCATGTCATCTTTATATTTTAAACACAACTCATATTATACCATTATATTATTATACTGTATCTTATTATATTATTAGGATTTTGTTATAAATTTTAAACACAACTCATATTATACCATTATATTATTATATCTTATTATATTATTAGGATTTTGTTATAAATTTTAAGATTTGATTTTAATTTGTCATACCATTATATTATTATATCTTATTATATTATTAGGATTTTGTTATAAATTTTAAGATTTGATTTTAATTTGTCATGTTCGCCTTCTTCAACTGGTGATCTTTTTAGCTGTAATTTATTTCTAAATTTAATAGATTTTATTGCACTGTACTATTTTGAGTTTGTGTTTATTGAATTTGACAATTTCATATGGCATACATTTATTTTTAGCATTATAAGAGTATGATGTGTTAGTTAATGTTTGGATTTGCATTATGGTCTGTGTGCATTTGTTTAACAAATCACAATTTCGTAATTTATCAGCAACAGTGTATACAAAATTTGATTTTTTTTTTTTAGGTTTAATTTATAGGCTTTCCTTTTTCAAATGAGAAAAAGCTGATTGAGAAACATGCTTCCTTTGTTCATTAGTTTTGATGAACATAGATGGAGTCAAGCAACACAAAGCTTATTGATACTGGAAGCAGAAGAAATTAAAGCAAGGGAAAATGAATACCATCTTAAGTCAATGCTGAAACTCAACTCATCCCTATTATTGTCCTGCCTTGTTCAAGTTTCAGTGACTTGGATTGTGTGTCTGTTGTTCATTTTAGCACTTTCTATGTTTAATATATATGGGCCTTGCCATGCCAAAAACAGCATCAGTGACAAAAACATGAAAATTGACTATTTAATATGCTGTATTCATATTCTCAGTATTATAAGCTTTAAAAAGAGTCATTTACTGGAATCGATTTACTATTGCCAAAGTCATGAGTATAAGTATGCACTGTCACATTCTGATGCTAATTACTCAGTTTAACAATTACAACGCTGGTTTTTGGAGGGCAAGCCCCATATAGAACGATTATGTATGTATGTATGTATAGCCTTATTTTTCTTTTTTTTTTTGCAGTCGTGTTGTAAGAAAAAGTATTGCAAGATGCTTGACAGTGTACAATCAATCACAAAAGGAAAATCTTCGCAAATTTTACAAGGGCAAAAAATACAAGCCCTTGGATCTTCGCCCCAAGAAGACGCGTGCTATCCGTCGTGCACTTACTAAGAGCGAGTTGGCAAGAAAAACAAGAAAACAAATAAGAAAGGAACGGTTGTATCCGCAAAGGAAATATGCCCTCAAAGCTTAAGCTCAAACCTCTCTTTGTAAGATAGTATTGATGATATCAGTGCATTAAACATTTAGAAAAGATGTTTTGACTTTGTGCTCATTTTTTTTTTTTGTGTTACTTGTATGGTCGTCACTGATGGATAAAGCTTTAGGGACCATAATTTTCACAAAAGTACAAACATACACTTTATAGGGAAGGGGTTGACAGTGTAACCATAATTATGTAGTCTTATGGTTAAATTATAAAAAGATGATCTTAAATAGTCACAAAATCATAATTTTATTGTGTACATCATTCTTCAGGGGGAGGGCTTCATAGAAAAGAGTAAGTTTTGTACTCTTGTAAAAATTATGAAAATAATTGATACCCCTTAAAAGTTTTAAAATTTATATATAAAGTTGCATATATATTTCTGTATACTGTACTGTAATGTGAAGTGTATGAGAGGCTTCAATGTGCTTTATAAGATATTACTGCAAAAGTGTTATCTTGCTACAAATCATATTTATAGATTTTTTTTTTGTGTTTATATCCACCCAAGATAAATGAGTACATTTACTGCTTGTCGATCAATATCTCATTTTGAACTTGATACAGTTGCATGAAGCTATAAAATACATGTACAAAAACAATCATTCCAGAGAAATGAAGTCAATTGTAATAAAAAATATCATTAGAGTCGTAGCTGTAGAAAACCAAGAGTGGGTGATACCTTTGGTAAATAAATAATATAGAGTGGATTTGGATGGAAAAGTGGGTTAATAAGAGTAGGTGGAGGACCATGAAATTAGCTTTAGACTGGGTGGAAAACTTCAAGGCTAGGTGGCCCCACCAACCTCCACAACTACATCCCTGCATCATATATATATATATATATATATATATTTTATATATATATATATATATATGTACCCAGAAAACTGGAATAAAAAGCAGTAACAATAAATTCAATCATTAGGAGTATTGCATTCTGAGTTAGATGTTACTACAGTACTTAAAGTGACACAGAATTAATATTTAGGTAATTAATGAGGTTTGCAGTTACAATCAATAGATTCATGGTTACAAAATGGATTTTTTATGATTATTTGGCATGGTAGTGCATATTGCACATTTTTATACCAAAGATAAACAAGAGTGATTAAAAGTGGGCTTCAAACAAGAAAAAATCAACATAAACAAGACAATACTTTTTCAATATTATTTTTATTTCTTAAAATTGCTAGTTTACTCATAAAACTACTTAAAATATAATTTCATAAATAATGAATGTCATGAAAATGTATTCACATACAACAGTACAGTATAAAGTTTTTTAGAAGAATAACATTTTTTCAAACAAAATATTTAAAAATCTTCATTGTTTACAGGTAGGTCAGAATTATAAAATATGAGGTAATCATTTCTACAAAGTATACCTCAGAAAACTACACACATACTTTAATAAAACGTAAAATGTCAAACTATTAAAATAATGACCCAAGTCGTATAGTGTAACCTAATATGATACAACGTTGACATCGTTTACCACCTGAGGACAAAAATGAATTGTACTGGCCAATCACTCAATAAGACGTTACACACTCACTAAGGCGAGACTTGTTAATACCTTGTTTAGCAAACTTGTATACAGGAAGGCGGAGGACAAAATAAAATAAAAATTTTATTGATGAATGTAAACAGTGTAGTAAAGAGATTGATAATATATATGCTTTAAGTTTATATAATTATGGAAGAAATATATATATCTTATTTTTGGAGATTTCAGGGGAGTGAAGGGCATAATAAAAAATAAATAAAAATATTTTTTTTTCTAAAACTTCCATTTTTCATAACAGAGGGTGCACTAACTGGTCAAAAATAAAATGTTATTTTTATTTGAAGTCAGCATTATTGGTGGTTGGGTGGTTTGATAAACAATGTATAAAAAAGTCTTGTCTGATCATTAACGTCTCCTTCAATACATCACGTAATTCAATGGCACAACAGTACTTAATCTGATCGACCAATAAACCATATCAATTAGCCAATTGATTGCCTCTTTTCGACAACTCTCATTATCTTGCTAAAATCATCATATACAAATTTGTGTAAGGAAAAATGTTTTTCCTATATAGTGTAAGGTCAAATATTTGTTGTTATTTACTACTTCTGAATTCCAAATCTGGAAGAAATATTGTAGCACCATATTTTTGGATTTTTTATCATAACAAGGATTTTTCAATTCCTATTTATCATTTCAAAATATGACATCAACATAAGGATTTTACACAAACATGAATCTTAAAAAAAAAATCATTGAGGATTTGCCAACTACAAAAGTACAGTAAAACATAACAGAATACATATGAAAATCGGGTTGGAATGCTAGAGTGGAAATTTGCAGAGTAGGCTCTCTGCTTCAGTGTATCATTGTATAAGATGATACAGCATTCAGTATTTATATTCAGTATTCAGTATTTATTAACAAATAAAGAATAATTATACCCTTCATAAATGCTGTCTCTTATACACATCTTTATGGAAGAAATATATATATCTTATTTTTGGAGATTTCAGGGGAGTGAAGGGCATAATAAAAAATAAAAATTTTATTGATGAATGTAAACAGTGTAGTAAAGAGATTGATAATATATATGCTTTAAGTTTATATAATTATGGAAGAAATATATATATCTTATTTTTGGAGATTTCAGGGGAGTGAAGGGCATAATAAAAAATAAATAAAAAAAATTTTTTTTCTAAAATTTCCATTTTTCATAACAGAGGGTGCACTAACTGGTCAAAAATAAAATGTTATTTTTATTTGAAGTCAGCATTATTGGTGGTTGGGTGGTTTGATAAACAATGTATAAAAAAGTCTTGTCTGATCATTAACGTCTCCTTCAATACATCACGTAATTCAATGGCACAACAGTACTTAATCTGATCGACCAATAAACCATATCAATTAGCCAATTGATTGCCTCTTTTCGACAACTCTCATTATCTTGCTAAAATCATCATATACAAATTTGTGTAAGGAAAAATGTTTTTCCTATATAGTGTAAGGTCAAATATTTGTTGTTATTTACTACTTCTGAATTCCAAATCTGGAAGAAATATTGTAGCACCATACTTTTAGGATTTTTTATCATAACAAGGATTTTTCAATTCCTATTTATCATTTCAAAATATGACATCAACATAAGGATTTTACACAAACATGAATCTTAAAAAAAAATCATTGAGGATTTGCCACTACAAAAGTACAGTAAAACATAACAGAATACATATGAAAATCGGGTTGGAATGCTAGAGTGGAAATTTGCAGAGTAGGCTCTCTGCTTCAGTGTATCATTGTATAAGATGATACAGCATTCAGTATTTATATTCAGTATTCAGTATTTATTAACAAATAAAGAATAATTATACCCTTCATAAATGTTAAAAATAACCTAATATTAAAATATAGCATATGCAAAAACAAGATTAAAAGGGAGTCTTCAATATTTACGTTTTAACCAGTTATATAGTTAAAGCATTATTTAGTTAGTGAAGTTTGAGTAGGCGACACCATACCCCATTATTTAACACCTCCGCCAGCCCCCCACCCCCCTCTCATTTGGAATCCTGGATACAGCCATGGAAATCCATGATACAAAGACAGTACTGATTCTAAATGTTTGGGGGGAAAAGAGAAATGTAAAGCAAGGTCATGATGGTTAATGAAGTGAAGCTGTGGAATGGTGGTTAAGGTGTTCACCTTTCCAATATCAGGTTATGGGTTCAAATCCTGGAAACACCTGCATTACAGTAGGTACTCTCTCAGCAGCCTCACATGAGACAAAAAGCACTGATCACTTTTAAGCCTTTTCGAGTCTGCTTTACACAAGACTAAATAATCTCACAAATTTCCAATACCATCAGTTAATGATTGTACTGTAAAGTTTAAACAAAGTGCATTGCTGCAACTGATGCCTACCAGAGGCCATAGCCACAAGTTTAAAAATTGCATAAAATGTATAAAAAATAAAACACCAATCATCTCAGTGCAATGATCTTAACTGTGTAGATTTCTAGGGGGAAATTTGTCTGTGTGTGCTCCTTAACAACTTTCAAACCAGCAGCGTTAAAAACCTTTAGGTATTCTTTGTAAGAACGTGTCACACTGCTATCTTGATCATCAAATATCACACCTTTTTTAGCAATGTTTTCCTTAATGCAAATCAATCCACTGTCTGCTAGGCCTTCTTTGCACCTCTTGAAAAATGAAACCAGGTGGTCATCAGAGAGGTGACCTAAAACCCATTGACACCAAATGAGATCATACATTTTCGGAGGTGGCATGAAATCTTGGAGTCCCTTGTTGATGTAGTCTCCAATACGCTCAGCTTTATCAGCTAAGTAAGTTTTAGCTTCATCCAAAAATGCTTTCTCTTGTTCAAGTAGATCCACCGACTGGAAAAGGGGTAGAAGAAGGTGTTTTGATACCCTGCCAATACCAGCACCACAATCAAGAGCCTTCCTGTTCTGGATTCGTTCTGCCCATGGTGCCTGCAATAAATTTTTAAAATTATAAATTAAAATTTTTGTTTGTAGAAAATTCAGATCATGGATTGAAACTATATAATGGAATCAAATCAATGTTTCTACTCATGCTATCAACCTACTTATGTGGAGCACACATTACATTGTACAACCGTCAGCTGATTATCTACTTTGATAAGTACTAACAATGTGACAGTCTATCATCATTATGAACGATAAGTTGTGTGCGCCACATCGCATTGTGTTCTCCATACAGTAGAAACGCATCGGCCGACATTCGTTTGGGTGTGTATGCCCGGCTTTAAAAAAAACCTAGAAAATATATGAATTGATAAGACAAATGTACAGTCCATTATACTGACTTTAATGCATGAGTATTGATGAACATGCCTTTTCGAATTCCATTTTTTTTTTTTAATTCTTACAAAAAAATTAATTACAACTTTGGACATTTTTTAGGCCAAGACATGAAAGTGGAGTTCTATTAATTATAACCATACCTAAGTACACTGCATAAAAAACATACATTTCATAAATGTATCTAAATCACCTTTATAACTAAGTTGTCATATCAACTTTACCAAACCAAACCTTACATGCATGAAGGATTTCAGAAACTGCTGAGACCCAACGATGTCTGTACTCGAGATAGAGCCGTATCCGCCAAGCATCCCGTCTACGGTAGCTGGGACTTTTTCCCAGTAATTTTTGGCATCGGAATAGAATGCTTTCTTGGTCATGGCATCTCTAGCATCATCTGCCATGTTTTGAAACGGATGGAAATAAATTTAAAAAGGAAAATTAGGGTTAAATTGAAGTAGCCTGCCTCTAGAAATTTAACTTGCACATGTAGCCTTACATCGCCGCTAAAAACAACCAAACAAAATCCAATACAAACAGCGCCCTCTGTAGTGTTGTCGATTGTCGCCAAAGATCTTATAAACACAAGATAGCGTTCTCCGGGATTTACGCGTGCAAATTCTGTAATAAGGCATGGATGGCGCCCTCTTGCTAAATTGGAAACTTTTGACCCTTGACCGCTCTGATCTGACCATAGGCCGACATTCGTTTGGGTGTGTATGCCCGGCTTTAAAAAAAACCTAGAAAATATATGAATTGATAAGACAAATGTACAGTCCATTATACTGACTTTAATGCATGAGTATTGATGAACATGCCTTTTCGAATTCCATTTTTTTTTTTTAATTCTTACAAAAAAATTAATTACAACTTTGGACATTTTTTAGGCCAAGACATGAAAGTGGAGTTCTATTAATTATAACCATACCTAAGTACACTGCATAAAAAACATACATTTCATAAATGTATCTAAATCACCTTTATAACTAAGTTGTCATATCAACTTTACCAAACCAAACCTTACATGCATGAAGGATTTCAGAAACTGCTGAGACCCAACGATGTCTGTACTCGAGATAGAGCCGTATCCGCCAAGCATCCCGTCTACGGTAGCTGGGACTTTTTCCCAGTAATTTTTGGCATCGGAATAGAATGCTTTCTTGGTCATGGCATCTCTAGCATCATCTGCCATGTTTTGAAACGGATGGAAATAAATTTAAAAAGGAAAATTAGGGTTAAATTGAAGTAGCCTGCCTCTAGAAATTTAACTTGCACATGTAGCCTTACACCGCCGCTAAAAACAACCAAACAAAATCCAATACAAACAGCGCCCTCTGTAGTGTTGTCGATTGTCGCGGAGAATCCATGTTTGATGACCTCTTTTTTGACATTCCATTTTCAGCGTTTTCAAAATGAATCACAACCAAAACAGATGACATTTTTAGTGTTCATAAGTATGTAATAGCGGTTATAAAAGCATTAAAAATGCAGGTTGAAGACGCACGTTACCTGAAACGGTACGTATCACAAACAATGCGATTTAATATAACTAAATAGCTAGTCTAGGCCTAGGGCCTACCACCAACTTCCTGGGCCTACCTAGCTAGGCTAGTAGGCCTTCTCTGGCCTTTATTAGGAGGTAGGCCTAGATAGCTTGGTGTGTGCATATAGCCCTAGCTAGCTAGCCTCTCTGACTCTAGGCCTAGCCTAGCTAGATTAGCCCTAGGCCTTGGCCTATCTATGTATCTTAGGCTAGAGCCTAGGGCTAGGCTTATTAGAAGTAGTATTATATAGTAGGCCTTTAATGTTAATAATAAAGCTAGTAATAGTAAGTAGTAATTTAGCCTAGTAGAGTTTAGTAGTAGGCCAGGCCTAGTTTAGTTAGTAATATACAGTATTTGCAGAATCGTAACTTCTGTGTTGGGGAAAAGAGATAAAACAAAATTTGGATGGTTGCCATACTGTGTAGTATTTTAATTGATTGGGGGATACTTTAAAAACTAGTACCAAATTTGCGTAGAAAATCACTAGGAAAGTATGTACAATCTACAGCATTTACTCCAGTGTTTAGATATATTGTTTGTTCATGGATTAATATGTCAAGGCCTATCAAACAAGATTCTTAATCTTAAGAACCATGCTGTAAATGACATTTTTCTGATTTTAATCTGTTCTTCCAGAAAGGTCAAAGGGGGAAGTATTGACGTACATCCGACAGAAAAAGCACTGGTGGTGAACTATGAACTTGAAGCAACTATCCTTGGAGAACTTGGCGATGAAATGCTTGGAGAGAGAAAGGAATGTCAGAAAATGTAAGGAAGAAGAATGGTCTTAAAGTTATAATACTTCATTTGAAAGTATTAATACATTTATCAGATTGATTGATTGTAAAATCTTGCGATTAAGTTTCTGGTGGATATTTTTAAAGATATAACATTGCCTTTTTTTTGTTATAAAATCTCCACAGTTTGTTGATTGTTTACACATTACTGTATGTTTTTTTCTTGAGTTTATTATGGCACATCTTAGCCATTGAATTTTGATTTTCAGTTGAAAGCTAATTTTTAATTACAACAATAACTTAATGTAAACTATAAGGCTTTAGAAATGTTATCCATTGTTATCTATGTTTCAGAATCCGTGTGCGAAGTTTAAACTCTAGTACAAATATTGCAGCATTGTCACGAGAAGTAGTTGAAAAATGCAAACTCATTCATCCATCTAAATTGCCAGAGGTAGAACAACTATTGTATTATCTACAAAACCGAAAGGAATCCCAAATCAAACAAGGTAAGTCCAATGTGTCAATTATTTGATTTCATCTCTGTTTTCTTAATGGCTGATAATTTAATAAAAATCTATGAATTCTATAATCGTATATTTATAATGGTAATTTAATGATGGTATGAATTATTTTATCTTTTAGGTTCAGGTAAAAAAGGTGAACTGACTGGGAAGTTGAAAGACCCACCACCGTATGAAGGAACCGAGGTAAACTATATATGTTATCACATTGTAACAAAGTTGATAATCATCACAATCCTCTGTTTCTTCATAATTATCATCAATTTCATTGTTATCGTCTAACAATGTGAAATACCAATCAATTGATTTAAATAAAACTAAATATAATTTTGAAATACTACAATATCATTTTCATCATTGCCATCCTCATCATCGTTAACATATTTTTTTATAATAAATATCTTCATCAGTAAACTTCATTGGAATCCCATTCCAGAAATCTTTGTCATCATCATTATCATAACCATCATCATCATTGCCAATAATGTCATTACGGTCTCCCCTCCCCCTTTTTTTTAAACAATAATGAATTCATTATAATTGGAATGTTTATAGCTGGATGAGGCAGCCAACATTACTGAAATAGAAGATTACATTGAGCTGTTATATGAAGACATTCCAGAGAAAGTGAAAGGCACAGCTTTGATACTGCAGATTGCAAGGAATCCAGACAACTTAGAAGAACTACTCCAGAATGGTAAGAGACATGTTATTGTACCTTGTCACAGCATTTACTCTACTGCCCTCAACCTTATCAGTCTAGCATAGCAATCAACGCCATCGTTTTATACGTAAACCTAAAGAAATTCAATCAATTGTATAGAACAATATGGTTTCCAACAGGAAAGAAATACACTATTTATTCACAAAAACATATCAAAATACATAATTTCCCCAAGCCTTAAATAGAGATGGTGGTGATGATGATAATGATAATGACAATGATGGTGGTTGTAATTTATAGGTATGTAGTATGGTCTTAAAGGATGCACAAACTGATTTATTTTTACCATGCAGTACTTAAAGTATATTTTTCAGTTTGCATGATATCCGCTTTTATTTATCTTCATTTAGAAACCGTTCTTGGTGCTCTTGCACGTGTGTTACGAGAGGACTGGAAACGGAGTGTCGAGCTGGCCACAAATATTATCTACATTTTCTTCTGTTTCTCAAGTTTCTCCCAGTTTCATTCTGTTGTGTCTCATTTCAAAGTGGGAGCTCTTGTTATGATGATCATTGAGCATGAACTGAAGAGGCATGATGTCTGGGTTGAGGAACTTACAAAAAAGAAAAAAGCTGGTATCCTTTAGTGAAAAATTGTTATAGTCTGTTTTAGGAATTTGTTAAAAATTTTTTAAAGAATATTCTTGCACAAAATCTTGAAAACAATAATTGTTTCCCTTACCAATGTGTAGGTAGTTTTTGCAGAAGGCTAAGGCTTTCTTTTCCATTCATTTTTTAGTGGTGTTCCCGCCTTATAATAAGGAATTGGCAATAGTCGGCCTGTCCAGGTTACTGTAGTATCTACGAAGAAAAAGACTGGTATCATATAAGTCTATAGTAAATTTGTAGAATATGCTCAAATAATATCTGACATAGTGAATGAGGATATGTAGCTATAATATTTGTGACTCTCTTTACTGTTTGTTTTAATATTTAGTCCCTCATAAGCCAGTTCTGGCTGACCTTTTTTGTTAAAATGAGTGCAACTTTAATAGATAAATACTTAACTTTATGCAGGATGCATGAAAATGTTTATTCCATTATATTTGGAGTGGTGTTTCCCACTTTATAGAAAATTGGTAATTCAGTTGATGTGACTTTTTGAATCAATAATTCATTCATGTTTTTGTCATCCAATCAAATGCTTCTTTTATTCATGAATTATGTGCTCAGCACATTTGGCACATTTTCTAAAAATCAATTCATTGTAGACTGCATTGAAATAGTTTCTTTAACTATGTAAAAAGGTGAAGAGAATTCACAACTAAAGAAGGACTATGAAAAGAGTTACAGGAAATACCAAAGTCTGCTAAAGAAACAGGAGCAGCTGTTGAGAGGTAAAATTTCTAAATGCTTGGTAGTCATGTATTTAAGCGATTCATCAAAAATATGATTTAGTTTACTTTGTAATAATATTCATTGTATAAATTTTAAATAATTGATGTATAGCTGTTACATTTTGAATAAGTTTAAATAAATGTTAAATCTCTTTATAAATATTTCAGTATCATTTTACCTGCTTTTGAATTTGGCCGAAGATACAAAAGTTGAAATGAAGATGAAAAACAAAGGTATACTGGGTATGTTGATACAAACATTGGACCGTGACAATATGGAACTCCTTATCCTTGTTGTCTCTTTCCTTAAGAAACTGAGCATCTACGTAGAAAACAAGGAAGAAATGGTAAGATATAGAATAAAGACACACTAATTAATACAGTAGTGCACATAGGATTTATCATGAATAAATTAGCATTAAACCATTCTGTAAATGGTGGGCTACCCTCTGTTAAATGAGACTTTAAATAAAAATAAACATAAAAAATGAATATTGGTACTTAATTGAGAAGTTACATTGTGCTTTAATTCATTATTACCAACAATTATTGTAAATGGTGGTTATGTTAATAGAGTTTACGTGTTTACTTAATTTGTATGAGGTCGGAGTGCATGCTCACTAATAACTGAAATCATGTAAACGAATAAGTGATCTAGTATCTAAATATATGTCTAAATTTATATCATTAATTTTTGTAAAAATAATGCTCAAAAATAATAATTTTTTGGCATTTTATACAAAACATTTACAAAAAATGCACTTTGTGTATCAGAATATGCATTGTAAATATACTGTTTTTTTTTTCTTAGCGAGAGAAACACATCATGGAGAAGTTAGCCGGCATTATCCCATGTGAACATGAGGATCTGCTTAACATAACACTCCGCCTTCTTCTGAACCTTTCCTTCGACTCGGAGATGAGGAGTCAGATGATTAAACTTGGTCTACTGCCAAAGTTTGTGGCAATTCTTGGTGAGTGTAAATGCATTTAGAAGTAACCTTTGATTGAAACACCATCCCACTAAATACTACTAGAATTAGCCATCTCAGAGTTTCAAGGGTACGTGACTATGTCAGAGGTCAAGGATTTTGTATCATGTGAGATTGGTTATTTACCCTATTTCATCACTCTTCATAGAAATTTAGTTCCACTGTGCATTTTACTTCCATCCAAACATTTTCATTCCATCTGTTTTCCTCCATTGCAAGCTCAAACATAATACATTCTTTTCATTGGTTAAAAAGATGCTGGACTATTCCATTCAAAGAAAAAGGTAGATTTTTTTTCATAAAATATCTAATGACAAGGATCTATTTTAGGTGTGTTATAAAACAATTAATGAATGTTTTTTTGTTCGTGCAATGGAAAAAATATTTTCATTTGTTGAAAGATTGATTGATCCATTCAACTTGGCTCCGCCACATTGAATAGAACAGTCAGTCTTTCAACTTGTGAAAATGTTCTTCCCATTGCACGCATAAACATTAATTATTTGTAAAATATATAACTGTTTCTTTCTCGCCCTATTGATTTAAGTTCTTTTCCTCTCATTACTAAAATTGTCTTCCTTTTACAGATAATGAGAATCATAGTTTGATAGTTCTGTGTCTGCTATATCACATCAGTATGGATGACAAAGCCAAGTCAATGTTTACATACACGGACTGTATTCCCAAGGTAGGTAAATTCCAAGCAGTAACAGAATCAGATCATCATTATCATCATCATCAATATCATCATCAACAGCATCATCATCATCATCAACAAGCTATTATTTGATGTAATATGCTTTTTATGACTTTATTTTCATCTGTTTCTACTCATCAGGTGATGAAGTTAGTTTTGTCAAGCCCTGGTGACCGTATTGATCCTGAATTGGTGGCGCTGTGCATCAACTTGGCATGTAACAAGCGAAATTCACAGATAATCTGCGAAGGCAATGGTTTGCGTTTGTTGATGCGAAGGGCATTGAATACACGTGACCCCCTTCTGTTGAAGATGATACGGAACATATCACAGCATGATGGCCCAACCAAGACTTCTTTTATAGTAAGGATGTTGTTGTTGATGATAATGGATGTTGATAATCTCGATGTTGATAATGTTGTCAATGATTATCATGTTGATTTTATCGATGAGGCTGATGGTACTACTGTTGATGGTGATGGTTATGTTGATAATCATGATGTAGATAATGATGATGATTAGAAGATTGATGATGTTGATGGTAATATTGATAATAACAGTGATGTTGATGATTACATTGTTGAGGTTATTGATGATGCTGATGGTAATATTGATGATAATGGTGATGTTGACGATCACAATTTTAATGTTATCAATGATGGTGATGGTAATATTGATGGTAATGGTGATATTGATAATATTGATGGTGATGATTACAGTGTTGACGTTATCAATTATGCTGATGATGCCGATGGTAATATTGATGATTATCCTGTGCTTAGTGAGGTACTGTTGGATCAGAATTAAACAAGATAAAGTATCATTAACTAAATAAGAATCATGATGATAGTAACAGTGATTTACCTTGAGAGCCAGGGCTAGAAATTAGCGGTCGCCAGTGGCGACCTTTTTTGGCATTGGGCGATAACAAATGTTTTGGGTATCGCCCCGTTTGGCGACCCTTACTATTTTGGAGTGGTGAAAAAATAACCAACTACTTTTAGCCATTTTGGAGAAGGCTTAAAATCATTTAAAAGTTTCAAATACTTGCTAAAATACATCGTTTTTTTTTCGCCCGAGCTCCATTTTTTGCCAATCCATCATAGCCATGCAAAGTTTATTTGTGTTGTTGTATTGGTAGTCTAGCTGCAAACGTCATTGTGTGCTTCGAATTTTGTTATTCGTTATTTTAACGCGGTGGATGCAGGGCAGTGCCTGTATGACGACGACTATTATGAAGGTGAATCACCTCATGTATGATGATTACACGAAGGAACTATATTCACGACAGCCGGCTAGCTGGAAGTGTACCCTTTGGGCGCAAAGTATACCTAAAGGCAGCCGACTGTCGGGTACATAACGACTTCTGCGCTTGTTTATCCATGGAGGACTACCTATGCTTATGCCTAGGATCAAGGTCTATGCATGCGATGGTGGTAGAAATGTCATTCATAATTATTTAATCAATGATTTCGTGTTCTCGCCTGATATGTAAAATACATTTAAGTAATGCATGTAATATTTTAAGAATGCACCATGTGGGTTGCTCTGTTACACGGTGTAGGTACTAGAGCAGAGTGACGGCAGTAGGCACCTAGGCCTAGAAGTAGCAGTTTAATCTGCCAAGGCTAGGCCTAGGCTACAGTAGGTCCAGATCGTAAGTCCTTGGTCATTGCAATGAAAAATTGGGGCCTATTTTCCAGACGATCAGACCCAAGCCAATTTTGAATAATCCTTTATGTCCTGATACATAATTATGCTGAAAATGCATAAAATACAGATTTTCTGGAGACACTAATTGTTCCACTAACTCCCAAAAGTAGGCTTTTCTCAGTGCTCCACGATCTCCTCCCCACCCCGATATCGTTCTAAACTATGCCTAGGCCTTTGTAATTTTTTCAACTTTTGTGTTATATTTAGAAAACTTTTGAAGTACTGTACCTCGTTGTGTGCTAAAAATAATAATTTGCTATCAAATAATGTTATTTTGATTGCCAATCTCTGTGTGGTCTAAAATCACATTTTTAAAACTCTTGTGTCGATCATGAATAGTAATACAATGAATTTTTTCTCGGACTAATGATTTTGGTTAAAGACAGATTCAATTGGCTAAAAACAATTATTACACCAATGTCATCTTGCTGGTTTTATTGATTTTGTTTTTTTCGTAAAATTATATTTCGGACCGTAAAAAAAAATAGGACCAGTATAACCTTGGAAGGGCCAGTATCATTTTTTCCTTACTGGCCCTGCTGGCCACTATGGTTTTGAGGTTAATTTTCAGCCCTGGAGAGCTACAACTCCCAAATTATTTTGTTTTTCTTCAACTTCAGGAATTTATTAGTAATATAGCTGAAGTAATACGACAGTCAGAAGATGAAGATCTGGTATTAGAGGCACTTGGGATCCTGGCCAACCTCACCATCCCTGATCTTGACTACGAGCTCATTGTTAGAGAATACCAACTGGTCCCGTGGATTAAAGAACGCCTGCAACCGGGAGCTGCAGAGGATGATCTGGTTCTTGAAGTGGTGATGTTGGTTGGTACAGTGGCTACTGATGATTCTTGTGCAGCTGTGTTAGCGAAATCAGGAATTATTCAGTGTTTGATTGACCTGCTTAATGGTAAGCACAACTCCTGGGACCCACCCCTTAAATGACTTTGTAAGTGTAATATATATTATATACTGTATATTATATTATATAATGTAATATAATCTTGTTCTATCTTCAGATCTGCCATTTTATTGGAATGTGCCATTTTTATAATTGTCATTGACAGATATTTATTTTACCATTTATTCTTCTTTATTCTTATTTTAGCTAAGCAAGAAGATGATGAGATAGTTTGTCAAATAGTTTATGTGTTTTATCAGATGGTCTTTCATGAAGCAACACGTCAGGTTATCATTAGGGAAACTCGTATCCTTTTCTATAGATTAATTTTGTAAACAATTAGTATCTCATTGTTGAGTACAAAACCCCTAAATATTAACAATTAGTGTTTGCATTGCTTACATTGTATATTTAAGTATGTTAATTAGACAAGAACATTTTTTTCTAATTTCATTGATGCATAAATATAGTTTTGCTGTATGTAGACTATGTAATTGACTAGAACTCCATAATTTTTATTGTAATACTAATAGTCGGTAGTGAATCATTGAAAACTTTTTTTTATCTGCATCTCATTGAAATGTGAAAACATGATGAAGTTGGCATCAGCTGCCAGTAAAAGCTCATACCAAATATTTTTAACAATGTAGTCTCAAAGTTCCTTTTCTGAAACAGTACAAGTAGATAACTTGTATATTCCTTTATAAATGAACCAATAATTGTTTCAACTGAATGTTTAAAAAATTTGTCTTGATATTCTAGAATATGAATCAAAATATCAAATTAGATTTACATTTCAAAAGATCTGTCCAGACTATCAATTTTTTTGAAAAAAAAAATGTATGCCCATATATAGACATGATGTGCCTATATATGGTCATGAATGATGTTATAATGACCATATTTGGGCATATCACATAGTCTTGTCAGGGCTTTAAGTTTATAACATAAAAAACCTACCAAGTAAGTTTGTATTCCTTACAACTGGTCTCAGAGGCTCCTGATTACTTAATAGATTTGATGCATGATAAGAATGTGGAGATAAGGAAGGTCTGTGATAATACATTAGACATCATTTGTGTGAGTATTAATTTTCATTTACCCACAATTTTTATGAATACAGGTTTTATTATGTACTCAAAATAATGGAACATTTCCAAATAATGTTAAGGAGAATATAGAAATAAAGATCTTATCAATGTTATTATTTCCATTTAGTAATGGTATTTTAGATAATTGTATCACAATTATATATAATTATGTAATTGTTGAATAAACAAAAAAATAAAGAATAACTATTACATAACACGATTTTGAAACCAGATTAAATTGTTTGATTATATAGTGTAATTGTTGCATTTATGACAATTATTTATAATTATTGCATTTTATTTAAGTTTTCTTTTATGTAGCTCACCTGCAAAGATTTCTTTAAACACATTTTTTTATAGTTTTCCTATAAAAAGTAAAGAATAACCACTAACACACAGCATCACCTAGCAGCCATTACGAGGCGCTTCTAGTAGCTACGTGTTCACATCTTTCCACAACAACAGGGGCTGACATGAACCATAGCATCAGGGTTACTTGCTACTTTTCCGAAAGATGCAATGGGTTTGCACAAGAGGCAGATGTATACACTAAACCTCTATTTTAAGTCCTTATCTGAGAAGAATTGGTTCTACCAATCAAACCCTGGACGAGGAGTGGCTTCAAATAGCGCCTGCCTTACCCCTCGGCTACATCTTAACTACTTGTTAAGATGTTTTTTGATCTTTTTTATATTAGTATTCATAACTAAATAAATTAATAGTAATAATAATAACAATAATAATAATAATGACGAATTGGATAGAATATCGATCCTTATGCAATATTTTTCTCTTTTTTGATGTACTTGTTTTTTTATCTTTGCTGTTTGATTTTTTTAATGGTTTTAATTGTTAACATAATTCGCAATTCAGCCTTTTGGCTGCTATGTTTTATGTCTTAATTTGAATTTTGAATAAATATACCATTTTGAATGAATACTCAACTCGCCATGTTTTGAAGAAAGCATTGAAAATAATGGAATCATCCATCTATTTTCTCTTATTCTTCCTTCCGTAGGAATTTGATGAGGAGTGTGCAAAGAAAATAAAGCTGGAGAAGTTCCGATGGCATAACTCTCAGTGGTTGGAGATGGTAGAGAGCCATCAACTGGATGATGATGGGTTGATGTATGGAGATGAGAGCTATAGTCCCTACATTCAAGAATCTGACATATTGGATCGGCCTGATCTATTCTATGGTTAGTACATGTGGTGGACCGGAAAACAGGCCAGTCTCGACAAGAAGACCATCCTCTTAAAAAAAGATGAATCCCAGGGCTGGTTTTCAAGGCTTTACGGCTGTCTCTTTTACACATCTTATTAATTCATGAAACATCATAATTGAGTGGAGGTCATTTAGGACACTGGATATGTCATATCTGAAATATGTTATCTAATCAACTTTTTTTCTGATATAGTTAACTAATTATAATTGACATTTGTATGGAATTGCTTGTTGTTTAGAAAATGATTCATTAGCCTCCCCCTCCCCTCAACAAAAAAGCACCATATAGTGTTGGTGGTTCTTCTTGTTTTGCTTGAAACATCTACATTTTTTTGTCCAGGTTATGATGAAGGTGAAATGTATGATGGCGCTGTTACGCCAGATTACTTGGAGGACTATGGTGTACCCATGCAGAATGGTGAATATCTAGGCCCACCAGGAACCTCCATGTTTGGAAGGTGAGACACAGTCAACTCGAGTTCCTGCATCTTTTTCATGCTGCTATTTTCAACTAATTCATCCTTAATATCTTTTTAACAAAGACACTTCAAGACCTGTGTTAGCATTGCTGGTACAGCAGTGCAAACAGTACCTTTTTCATCACACAGTAAAGTTGTTTCACCATGGCAACACTGTGTTGCATCAACCTGGCTGCACTTCTTTCTCACTATGGCAACAGTTACGTTGTCTCACACCATGTGAACACATTCATCATCTCACCATGGTAGCACATATCAAGATATATTTACTGTGGATCGCACCCATTTTCTTGCTGTTAGAGTTAGGTTCTCCTATTGTTCTCTTAATAAATTCTCTCAACTGAGAATTACTTACAAATTAAATTATGAAGATTTGTGATTTTCTAATATAACCAACTCTATAAAAAAAAAAGTTGTATTTCAACATTGTTTTTTAAGTTGTCTAACTTGTAACTATGAAATAGCAACTCATCAAATTTGATTTGTTTAAAAAATTAATTTGTTTTCCATTTGTTTTATTGGTTTAGTACATGCTGTGCGATATAAGATCTTTTTTTAGGATTCACGTAATGAAGGAGCACTGTATGCTATTGAATCATATAGAAGTCACATGTTTGCACACATTACTAGAGTGGTTATCCGTGGCATGTCCTCTGGTTGCAATTACTTGGGTGGCAACACTTAATTATTGATAAATAATTGAGCATACTGTTTGCCTTTGTTTTTTTTTAAATCAAATTGTGTGGTTCTAAGTTATGGACAACCGTGATATCTCCTTCCTCTTTATTTTCAACTGGGTGGCACTGTTACTCACCTTTCTGCACATCTTGGAAATGTTACTGATCATCACTCTATTTCTTAATTAGTTTGAATCTCTTACAAATTCCTGAAAGTGGATTGTTTATCATTCATTAATCCTGGTTTGTGAACTATCTTTTTCACATTTTTTAATAACTTTAAGAGTTCGTTTTTGTTATTGTTCTAATATCAGTTACAATAATGTAGTTGCAACACTTATCGCTTCATATTGCTTGTAATAAAAGTTGTAATTGTATGTTATAGAAGTTTGTAATTATAGGACATTTTATGTACAAACTAGTCACCACTTCAACCAGATAAGTGTTGTAGTATAGTGTAAAACATTCTTTTGGTGAACTTAATGTGCAATTAGTGATGATTTATAGTTAAATATTCTGATAAGTCATTGATAATCATGTAAGTGAGAATTACCATATCATGCTAATATATTCATTGTGGAACAGCTCTTTTTGTAAAATGTTGAGGGTAAGTTAAAAGTTATATTTATGTATTTAATAGCTACACTAAAGCATTCCTTTATTATTGGGAGTCGGTGTAGTTGGGTATCAATGGTAGATCCAGGAAGGAAAAAAGGCACATGTTCCCTTAATGTGACTGTCAACATTTCCAGTGTTTTTAATAATTTTGTCAAGACTCCTCTTCTCCTCTTGGAAATATGGGAAACTTGACAAGTTAGAAATCGTTTCACGTAGGTACAGCCAACAAGAACTTGACAACCAGGGACGTGCTGCTGGGGCTTATATCATTGACAGACAAGTTGTGGACCAGTACGGACACCCTTTGGACGAGTACGGTAGGCCGTTGAGAGAGTCCTACAATTATGACAACGATGCTCATGACAGTTTCGGAGATTACAGGCAAAGTTATAATTTCTGATTTCAAAGTTGAGGAATAACAGATTACGATCAAAAATAGATGGTATTCATAGTCTCATGTTTATATTATTCAATCAGTTTTAATAGTTAGCAGATATCAGTTCATTTATTTGCATATAATGCCATGGGCGCCCAAATGCATGAATCAGGGTCTACATAAATGAGGGTACTCACTGCATCACTGTCAAGGTATCAGATCACAGGATGTTTGTATTTTCAAGGTATGATTAAATGTGAGCTCACCCTAAAATATTACATAAGCGCTTAAGATTGTCACTTCAAAGTATGATTTTTTTAAAACCATATTTTACAAAGGGTTACCCTTCCAGCATATCCTAGAAGGTCGGCTGATATTTTGGGCCCTCTTAAATGAAATAATGTGATGCTTTATCAGTGAAGTATCATTGCTAGGCTTAGGGAGTTAAGATGTTTTTTAGTTGTAAGAGAAAAAAATCTGTGCTGTCACAGGATTTGAACCCAGGACCCTGAGATTGGAAGGCAAGCATCTTTTAACCATCAAGCTACAACTCCATTACATGTGATGTTAAGATAAAAATAATGATCATTACTTATTGTTCATGTTGGCAAGTATCGCTCCATTACTTGTTAGGACAACGCTGATGCAGACCAGTATTTTATATGTCCACTACCCACTTGAAAATTGTATGTGGCAATAGAGAAAAACAATTCAGTGAGAGGCAATGATTCTCAATGTTTGCGATCTTTATTTGGTCATCTTGAGAAATTGTTGTTGGTAATTTTTATATTCTGAAAATATTTATGTACTTTTTTTCTAGTAGCAGTAAAAGTAGATGAGTCAAATGCTATGATTAGTTGGTCCTTGACAAGTTGACGCAAATATTTCGATTGGGTGATATTTGCAGATTGAAACTACAAGTTTTAACATGTAAAAAGTACTGTATATTAAACAGTGACCAAATGAATGAAGTGTTATTTAAACCTTGAGTAATATTATCTGAATTTTAATTTGATTTTCATACTATTGGCAAAGTTTTCTGATACAGTTAAATAATTACAGTATATGTTTAAAATTTAATATCTTTATTTATAGCGTAAATGGGGAGTAATTAGCCAAATGTATAATAAATTCTGCTAAGTATTTATAATGATCAGTGTTTCCTGCCATATATTTGTCATCTTGAATAAAGCGTGCAATCAAAGCTTATTACGTCTTCTGTTCTACTGTGTAACGGTAATGTCTTGACTTGACAAATGTGCGCCAGATGAGGAATGATGATGATGATGATTATGACGATGATTATCACAATTATGGTGACGATGATGATAATGAATGACGATTTCGATGTTTGCAGTTGAAAAACTAGTAATTGCATGGTTGATTGAATGGTTGGTTTACAGATCTAAAGTGAATGGTAGATTTTTTTTGATCGATTAAATAACGATTGGCATACATTGTTATGATTTCAACTGAAGATATCAAGAATTCGGTGTTTTCCTTATATCGTGTGAAACCGAAATGATGGTGCTCCCAGAACCGTATGTACGGTCTACGGCTCTGTTGTGCTCCTGAACCGCAGCCCCCTCTATAGTTTGCTAATGTAAAACATGGCTGCCCCCTGTGAGTTAAATGTCACTCTAGAATTCAGGTATTTGACGGTCCTTTTTAGAATGATTATTGTTAAAATGACATTGATTATGACGTAGGAGGGCTAGAGATTGAGTTTCTATCTGCAAAGTCATTACTGCAATGATATGAAATACCTAAGCCCGACCACAGAAGAAGTCACACGCAGGCTGAACTAGTGAGTGGGGCCTACCACCACCCTTCCCATTCGTTGGCCGGCTTACTTACCTAGACCTAGCCTAAGATAAGAAGCTTAGTATTTCCAGTACTACCTACCTAGATAGGCCTAAGCCAGTACTATAACCGTAAAACCTCGAATAGGAGCCCCATGGGCTTATCTCAGACTGACGTTATCTTTGATTATTAATTATGTTGGCGTGTAAGTACCGGTACCAATATTATTTTATTGTACAAAGGGCCTAGGCCTAGCATGGATAAAATTTTAAAAATATTGAACAGAATTTCGAATTCCATAGTTGATTGAATAATGTCGTATAAGTAGCAATTGAAAAATTTACTACAGCATTCAATTTGAAAAGATTCCCCGCTCTTTAGTTTGCAAAAGTATCTCGAAAAGAACCCATCCCGAAAACAGGCCAGTCTCGACAAGAAGACCATCCGCTTTACGGTATATCAGTAGACTACCAGACGAGGCTGAATCTCAGTGCAAAAGACCATCAATGATGCCAGGAGGGTGACATCAAATGATGAGGGATTAAATAATAATAATATAAACAAAAAACAGAACATATTTATAGGCCAAACAAACACTGCTAACACACAGAAAAGACAACAAAATGTCTTGATTTTACCTTATTTGCAGTGGTGGAGCCGAGTTACTTTTTGATAAAGTGAAGAAACATGATGTAAAGTTGAAAAAAGAAGATGAGACATGTAAGTCTATATAACCAATGATTGTATAACATGTGGTTGCAGATATGAGGAGAAGGAATGGAGAATGTGGTGACTCCCACTGATTTCCATAATATTAATAAATTAACATTTGTTTAGATTCCAAAAGCCCATCTCTTGAATCAGCCCCTCCTTAGACCCAGCTTTGTTTTGTTTTTTTGGACACACTCCTGAATTTGGAACACGTTTACAATCAAAATGCAGTGGTGGCACGAGGATTTTCCCGACAGGGGGTCAAAGGCTGATGTCCCCGACGAAAAAAAGTGGGCGTGGTCAGGCGTCACTCAAAATCTCTTGAGCGAAAAAATATGACAATTTAGGGGTTTCAAAGGCCTGTTTAATCAAATTTTTTCTACGAACTGTGGTTTTTTTCCATGACAGGGGGGGCCAGCTCTCCCCGATGAAGGCCCTGGCCACACGCCCTCCCCCCTGCTGGCGCCATCCCTGTCAAAATAAAATGCTTCCTTTTACAGTATTGTTTAATGTTCACCTTGAAATACCTACTCTAAATAAGCAGCTTCTCTGGGAGGGGAACTGTTTATAATTAATGATAGATTGAGGGGAAAACACAAAGTGGGTTTTAAATATAAGACGCCACTTAAGCGAAGGTTGATATAAATTTGTATGAGCTTTCTAAATTTCCTATAATTATTTAACCAAAAAATTAACATTTGCTATTTTTCATTTATTGTAGGGACAATCAAAAACCTGCTTAAGTGGATAAAAGAAAACTTATTGAAGGAGCGTCCAGAACTGTTTATTCATGGAGAATCTATGTATGTTATTACATTGAAATTGGAGAAGTATTCAGATTCTCCATGAAATATTATCATTTCCAATTTGATTTTCACATTGCTATGTGTATTTAGATACTGTACAATGGCCTGAATTACCATAGAGCAGTATGTGCTCTCTAGTAGTATTTTAAAAATATTGAACAGAATTTCGAATTCCATAGTTGATTGAATAATGTCGTATAAGTAGCAATTGAAAAATTTACTACAGCATTCAATTTGAAAAGATTCCCCTCTCTTTAGTTTGCAAAAGTATCTCGAAAAGAACCCATCCGGAAAACAGGCCAGTCTCGACAAGAAGACCATCCTCTTAAAAAAAGATGAATCCCAGGGCTGGTTTTCAAGGCTTTACGGTATATCAGTAGACTACAAGACGAGGCTGAATCTCAGTGCAAAAGACCATCAATGATGCCAGGAGGGTGACATCAAATGATGAGGGATTAAATAATAATAATATAAACAAAAAACAGAACATATTTATAGGCCAAACAAACACTGCTGAAACACAAAAAAGACAACAAAATGTCTTGATTTTACCTTATTTGCAGTGGTGGAGCCGAGTTACTTTTTGATAAAGTGAAGAAACATGATGTAAAGTTGAAAAAAGAAGATGAGACATGTAAGTCTATATAACCAATGATTGTATAACATGTGGTTGCAGATATGAGGAGAAGGAATGGAGAATGTGGTGACTCCCACTGATTTCCATAATATTAATAAATTAACATTTGTTTAGATTCCAAAAGCCCATCTCTTGAATCAGCCCCTCCTTAGACCCAGCTTCGATTTGTTTTTTTGGACACACTCCTGAATTTGGAACACGTTTACAATCAAAATGCAGTGGTGGCACAAGGATTTTCCCGACTGGCGGTCAAAGGCTGATGTCCCCGACGAAAAAAAGTGGGCGTGGTCAGGCGTCACTCAAAATCTCTTGAGCGAAAAAATATGACAATTTAGGGGTTTCAAAGGCCTGTTTAATCAGTTTTGGGGTGTACTAATATGTAAAAAATACATATAAATTTTTTTCTACGAACTGTGGTTTTTTTTCATGACGGGGGGGGGGGCCAGCTCTCCCCGATGGAGGCCCTGGCCACACGCCCTCCCCCCTGCTGGCGCCATCCCTGTCAAAATAAAATGTTTCCTTTTACAGTATTGTTTAATGTTCTCTTTCACCTACTCCAAATAGCAGCTTTTCTGGGAGGGGAACTGTTTATAATAATGATAGATTGAGGGGAAAACACAAAGTGGGTTTTAAGTATAAGACGCCACTTAAGTGAAGGTTGATATAAATTTGTATGAGCTTTCTAAATTTCCTATAATTATTTAACCAGAAAATTAACATTTGCTATTTTTCATTTATTGTAGGGACAATCAAAAACCTGCTTAAGTGGATAAAAGAAAACTTATTGAAGGAGCGTCCAGAACTGTTTATTCATGGAGAATCTATGTATGTTATAACATTGAAATTGGAGACGTATTCAGATTCTCCATGAAATATTATCATTTCCAATTTGATTTCCACATTGCTATGTGTATTTAGATACTGTACAATGGCCTGAATTACCATAGAGCAGTATGTGCTCTCTAGTAGTATTTTATATATTCACTGACAAAACACAGCTGACATATAATACATATATTAATTACAAACTTGTTTCTAGACTGCATGACAATCACCTTTCCAAATTTAGTTTAGTTTAGTTGTTAATATTTGGTAATCATGCTATACTGTATTAAAGTATGCTGGGGAAGTTTCAATAATTTCCAGTTCTCTTCTGCTTTTTTTTTTTTGGTCAGACGACCTGGTATTCTAGTATTGATCAATGATGCAGACTGGGAACTGATGGTAAGTGCTTTATCTATATTTTATTTTATTTTATTGTTTATATGTAAGTAAATACATTTTATATTAAAAAAATATGTTTTATCATTTAAATACATATCTTATATTAAATTAGATTATGTTAACTTTTTTCCTTTAGGGTGAATTAAACTATGAAATTCAAGAAAATGACACAATAGTTTTCATATCAACATTACATGGAGGATAACATGAAATCATGTAACTAGAAATGTAATGAAATGTTATCATAAGGATATCCATGAGAGGGAGAGAGAGAGAGAGAGAGCAACACTGACCATTCTCATAACTAAGTTGTAAAGTTTTTGTAAGATGGGGATAATCATCATAATGGTTAAACTTCGGATTACTTGTGATGTAAGGTTTTGATAGTGTTTAAACAGCCAGGATGGAACAAAATAATGCTCTGCGACTTTAACTTGCACAAACCATACTGCTGTTCACACTTGTATTTCAATATGCAGTAAGTTCACCAAGCAGTGGCAGACAGTAGGATTTTGCACATGCGTGGTCAGTCTAAAGGAAGATTTATACTAGTCTTGATGCTCACATTCGACTTTTCTGCTTTGGAAGAACTGTTTTGGCTAAGCTGTGGAGTTATACAACGGGGTAATTCGACGCGACCAAGGAAATGTTATTCTTGCTGGATTTTCTTCAGAGCCCAGGAGTTTGAAAGTGAAGTCTTTATAACGAAACTACACTACAACTCCCCTGAAAACACCTTATGACAAATACTTGTATAGAACTGATATATACAACAATTTTTTTTTTTCTATATTATGATGGCATTTCAGAATCAAGTAAACTGTTGAAATATAGTTAATTTATTAAATATACTTTTAAAATGAAACTCTGAACCTGTTTTTGATTAAATGTGATACCGTATTTATAGCCATGGTTATGTTTGTATATAATAGTGTGTATATGATATATATACACATATACTTTATATTATCTTGGATACAGTATATGGAAATTGAGAAAAACAATCTGGAAAGTGCTTGCTGCTAATATTTCGCTTGACTAAAGTACAAACGTATGACACTATGAGCATATCCTCACTTCTTTAAATTACATTTTGTTTTCTTTTGACATTGATTCAAGATATGATGCAAATGCTGTGAAAAAAAATAAAGATTGCATATTAACAAAACAAATGAATAGTATAGAATGTGCGCTAGGTTCAACCTCATTACCCATACTACAGTACATTTAAAAATAAACTACTAGTCTAATTTACGTAGGACTTCTTGAAAACACAAAATTGATGGAATCAATAAAATACGGTTTATATCAGTTTGGGCTGGTGTTGCAGCACAGTGCTTTTTTAAAATGTTATATATGCGCAGTTTAGATTAAATATAAACTAATAAAAATGGGAAATGAACAACACCAAATTTAGTTCCAGTAGAAGTTTACTGTCTGAAAGATGGTTCTTGGTTTAGTAGTCACACAGGTTTTTTCACCTTGTCCTACTTATTACTGCTGCTGAAGAAGAGCAAGTGTAGGCCTGCTCAAAAGCTAGGCTTATGCCAAATAAACTAATCTTAAAGATACTGCAATTCTCTGTGCAAAAGATATACGTATGCGTACACTCGGTAATGCGCTAAAGGCTAATCGATGACAATGGTTGATCTGACTGATTCTATCTTTCTCTGGCCTTGAAGCTAACGCTGTTAATCCGCTCACTACAATGCGTTATCCTCTGAAGAGTGGAGGCCAGCTACATCATAAGTGAATAGAATCGATGATGTATGTTGTCTGGCGATTGATTGTCGGCCTGTCCTTCATGTCTGGTTGGTTTGTCCAAAAATGGCGATTTTAGATCGCCCTTCGACGGTGATTGGTTTTCTTTGCTTGTTTCATTTGTTTGCAGTATATACCTGAAACATGACTTTTTAAATAGACTACAATACAGGCCCGTAGCCAGGTTCTTCCAAGGGTTTTTCTGGGCGTGAGGTCCACAGTCGAAGCCCCGGTGGAGTCGGCGAAACTCAAACGCAAGAGGTTTTTGTGGATCTAAATAATGCTATAAAAGCAGATATGTTTGAAAATGTCTGTGTCTGGGTGGGTCTGCAGTGCATTAGTTGGGTTAGGACTTATTTGGGGAATTTAAAGAGGGGGTTTCGACAGAAAAGGGGGGTTTTGCTAGAAAAGGGGGATCTTCCGAACCATAACACCCCCACCCTGGATACGGGTCTGCAATATGCCTACAGTACATAGAAATAGAATTCTATTGTTACTTATTATATTTCTTCTTTACCCTAGGTAACCCGATCAGTGCAAACGCTGGTTATCCTCCACGGCATAGAAATTACCTCATATGTTAATTACATTTATGGACTATTAAATATTTGCCGTACGTTTATTCCCGTTCTACCACCTAAGCACAATCTATTTTCGGCACCGAATGGACCATTTCCCAAAAAAAAAATTATTATAATTATGTTACATCATGATGCTCTATCTAGTGCATCATTGGCAAAACAAATATAATTTTATTGAAAATTTTGAATTAGCAAATGAGCAAAATATTATCTCGTTCTAATTTTCATTGAACGCCAATACTTTAAATATGTAATTTAAAAATAAATGTAATTTATAGTTTGGCTGTACTTCAGAAGGAGGTTCTTATCAGGGGCGGATCCAGAGATGTCCGAAAGGGGGAGGGGGAAAAAGTGGGGCCGATTAAGATAACACTGCCCTGGGGGTCCGGGGGCATACCCCCACGAAAATTTGGTGTTCCACACGCCCGAAAATAACCTCTGAGGCGCTTTGGGCGATCAATTTGTTTTTCTTTCTTTTCTTTTTCCTTTTTTTTTTTTTTTTTTTGGCTTTCCAAAAAGGGGCCGTGTTTCCCCCTAAATCCTCTCCTGCTTATGCCTTTAGCGAAACACAGATCCAGTAATCAACTGATCGGTACATGAGTTTCGTGTCATTTAAATAAGTAATCAACTTCAGAAAAAAGGGTTTTAAGCTCCATTGTGCTACCGACTTTTGTTGGTGTCGTCTAAATAACTAATGGACCTATAGAAATTGGTTTCAATCCACCATTACAGACCTAATCAATCAATAGGGCCTACTTTATTAGCTTATGAATAAATCCCACACTAACTTCGTATAGGGAGTACTGTTTAGTATACATTGTGTTAATTAATAATGAACGTGTAAGAAAAGGGCTTCAAACCAGCGTATAGGTCTATCAATCAACATCTCACTAGTGCTGATGTATAAAGACCACATTTATTCGTACGGTATAGTATTAGTATAGAACTTTATTTATGTTTATCTATATTTATGGCTTCGAACCATCATATAAGGCGAGTCAAATGGCCGAGCGGTTAGTAGGGGCGCCGCAAGCCACATCCAATGTCGGCGCTGGTTCGAACGGCACGCTCGCCTATTGTCCTGGTGGTAGAACAAGTCTTCTCTGATAAGGACTATAAACCGTAAGCCCAGTGTATACAATGGCTCGTGTGCACTATAAAGAACCCAGAACATCCTTCGAGACGTCACGAGTAGGAGGGATACCCCGGTTTACTGGAACAGACAGCCCTGTGGTGGACGACGAGAGTTGCTGGTACCGGGTTACCGGGTAGCACAGACACGAAGGGACCCTTAGGGGTGAAGAAAGTTATTGATCGAGTTCCTAGTCCAGATCGAGTTCCTAGTCCAAATCAAGAGCCCTGAGCATCTTATGTTAGATGGATATGGCGCTATATAGAACTACACTAATACCGAAACAATCAATTTAGTGTATAAATCCAACATCCTGTTTCGTATATAGGCCTAACATCTTTTTATATGTTATTAATTAGTTAACCATATATAGAAAAGGGTTTCATATACCTAAACAATCAATACTTTATTAGCTGGTGTATTACTTAGTACTGTAAAGTTTTGTTTATGCCTATATGTTAATAAATAATGAAGTTATATAAAGATGTTCGAATTATCCCTCAGACAACAATCAATATTTTATTTTCTAGTGAATAAATACTACACTTATTTCGTATTAACAAAAACAAAAACAAAACAAAAAAAAACCATTAATGAAAAGAATTTCAAGAAAGCCTATACGGTTTTAATGAATACAATTCATTCAATGACTTTAGATTGGACATCTTACCAATGGACAATAACCAGATGGTCCTATTCGTAGACTCTTAGCCAATCCTGAGCATGGATGTATAGGCCTAATGTTAGGTTGATCAGCTGTGTTTTATGTGCAATTATGGGCGCGGATGTAGTATTTGGATAGATCAATAGATGAGTGACCGGAATGCCTTTAAATCCTAACTGTCGGGTGTACAGTCAAAACTCGTTGCTGTGTAAAATGAGGTGGTGGCGCCAGCGGGGGAAGGGGAATTTCCCCATCGGGCATGCTTGCATGCCATCCCCCTCTCCCTGTCCAACGCCACACATCAAGTTCGTCGGATCAAAAGTATTAAACAAATTTGCCTATCCAAATAACGTTATTTTGATTGCCAATTCCTAGTATTGTGGTGTAAAAGCACCGTTTGGACCAAACTAAGCCATACAACTCTCTCCGTGAAAACCTTATCAGGGATTTTTTTTTACTTTGGGACCCGGGCCGAGGATCTAGTCGGCGACTTGGGTCGGACTGGAGCCAGCGCTGGTAAAATGGTCGTTGAAATAAGATGAGAAGATTAAATATTATAAATAATGTATTTTCATAATAGGTTTATATAATATAGGCCTATTAAAGAAGTTCTATTTTTTATCTTCTAAATGTAAATAGTATTTAAAAGGCAAAGGTCCAAAGATCTGGGTTCACAGGCCAGACTGGCCGTCTCTCTTTCCTTGGCATTTGGGTCAGACTCTGTGTGGGGGAAGGGGTAGGTTCGCCACTCATCCCAGAATATATCTGGTACCCATAATTTTATACTCAGGTTGGAGACAAACGTAGAGGGACACAAGCAATTTCCACAGCGAAGGCTTCGAACCTCCAAACCGCGATGTTGAGAGTCCGAGCCACAACGAGTTTGAAAATAAGTTTTGTTAGTTGGTTACGAGGAGTAGGCTAACAGTCTAAATTCAGACCAGTTCATCAGCGAGACTGCAATCTATAACAATACTCTTGTTTTAAACTGCTTTTATAAAAAACTTACTCTCAAAATTGCACTTTCAAGTTCAGAAAACTTGCTGCTCTAATTAGTTCCTTTAAGAATTCCTTTTTTATTTTAAGAATACCGACACCCATGGCTTCTACATTTTGATGATTTTATTTCGAAAATTTGTTTGTTTGATAGATTATAATAAAATAGCACTCCAGAAACAATGTGTGCTGCTATATTGTGGCGAAAAATGAAGCGAACATTTTGACAAAGTGAGATCTACCCAGATAGAATTGATCGATTTGATTGATTTCGATGCTTCTTGGCGGCGTTTCTGTACTGTTCAGTACATTAGCATTGTGACTATCACTTCCAGTTCTACTTAGTGTTGCTTTTAGTGTTTCGATTTATAAAACTTTAATTCAGATGCTGAGAGGTAAGAATAGCGCACATTAGTTATTCGGGAGTGATTGATAAGTTAAAAATGTGTACCAGCACGGGCTGCCAGCGAATGAATGGTTAGCTGGTGCTCGGTATTCATTGCTAGTGCCTGGGGATTACGGTCTTTTCTTCTGTTTCTTACTCTATACCGCTGCAAACATTGTTTTAAGTGCATTGTATTAACATAATGTAGTTAAATCTGGATTATACTCAATGGGAACGGGAATGATTGCTGACGGTGCAGTATTATATACATCGACCTTGATTCACGGTAAGCCATTGGTCTTTACGAAACGCATAAAATAGGCTTAAAGTCTGCGAAAGTTTTAGATGGAATAGCTTACTGTAAATTGTCTCAACATCGTCTCTGAA